GCTATATTTGGACCTTTCAGTCCCTTAACAGAATAAAGACATTTTTAAAAAAGAACTCCCCTGCTGTGGTTTATTATAAGAAACTCACTCTGACTTTTGAAATTTAAAAAAGTAAACCTTGTCCTATACAATTCCTTTAACTTAAAAGTTCAAGGTTTCGTTTATAAAAAGAAAAACAAAAGTAAAGCATTTAATCTAAATTGATTGCAAGTTAAAAAAGAAATTATTGAAGGGAATAGTCATGACTTCTATTTACAGATCCTTTTTTCTAGTCATCCCACCTATAAATACATAGGTTATGTATTTTTTTAAAACTTATAATCATGACATTGCTTTTTAAGTATTAAATACTTAAATCTCCACAAGAGTAACTCATGGGTTTCAGACTTCTCTTTAGATACATGTAAAACCATTTGGGAACGTCTCTGTTTAATCCCATGGGAAGCGGTACTACCCAACTGCACGTAGGCCCCACACAACAAAGACAAAAATTGAAACCCAGGACAACAAAGACTGTAAACCATGACATTCTAACACACCTGCCTCGATTAGACAAAAAGTGGACAGACGGCTAGGAGGACATCTGTAAGTACTGAAATCAAGTTTAGCATGTGGCCTAACTGATAAAGTGAATATTCAAACAAATATCATTTCCCTTTGAATCATTTCACTTACTTTATACTAGGCTTTCTGAATCTCAGCACTATTGACATTGTGTCTGTCTGTCTGTCTGTCCATGTACTGTAGAACGGTTGGCAGCATCCTTGTCCTCCACCTGCTACAAGCCAGCAGAATCCTCATCCCCAGCCTCAAAACATGACTCCAAACACCGCCAACTGTCCCCGAAAGCAAAAATGTACCCCGTTGAGAACCACTGCTCTACACTAAAGAAAACGCAACAGTTAACATGGACAAAATCCTAAAATTTCATTGTGTTTGAATTTATTTTACGAGGGACATAAAATACATGAGTCAGCGGTACTAACCAAGTCAGACCTTGTAAATGGAGTCAATAGCACTAGGAAGACATCATCATCCACACCATTCATTCCCTCTTCAATCAGGAAAGCTTTTAAGCTCATAAAAAGATAATCAGGACCCCTTAAAACTAACATAAGTGTCAGGACGGAATCAGTGGCTGTGCATAATGAACTGCCTATAAATTGTTTAATCTCCATGCTTGTGTCAAAGATCAGATTAATTTAAGATGAAAACGACAAATCTGAGTAGGAAAGAACATAAAAGTTGAGACAGATGGCCAAAAATGTTGCGCAGGAACAACTCATTAAGAGATCATACTGCTTTCTCACTCCTCTGTCTTCACCTAAGCAAAGCTGTCCTTTTCTTAAGAATTTTCAGAAGGCAGATAGTTTTACATACCCGTAAAAAAAATCAATTTATAAAATCGGAATGAACACTGCCCATTTAAAGATTTGCATTAATCTTAAGCATAAGACAAATTTCTTATGCAACTTCAAAGCAAGATTTCATGTCCTCTTTATATTTATAACATATATCAACCAAACAACAGACTTGAAGTTTTAAATTGTAAGTCCACCTAGATACAGATGTTGAATCAGCGCCAAGAAAACTATAGCTTTGAAGGATACCTGGCATTCTGAAAATACAATATCCCAAATTGTGCCTATGAACAAGAAAATCTATAATTTTTCCAAAGAAATATTTACTTGAAAGTTTAAAAGTATCTCTTTTCTTTGCACACGGGAAATAATGTTTAGACATAAACAGTGACAAAAGAGATACTTGTAACATTTTATAGCCACATGCCAAAGTTTCAAGGATTAACTCATAATGTTTTAATTTCCACAATCGGATTGAAGGGAGTCTTTGTTTTCTTTCTTGGTGCTTGGGTTTTGCTTTTAAATAGACATAAAGAAGTAGTGGAAAGCAGAACAGCAAGTGTTGGGTTTCTGATGGCAACTCTAATTGTGTTTCCTTCTGAATTAGCTTTTTAAAAAATTCTTCCTCTCCTTTCCTTTCTTTCTTAACACAAAATTGAAACCATACTACAAGAGTTTATTCCTTGCCTTTTTCACTCAACATTTTCCCGTCTACCAAACATAATTTTCAATGGCCACTTTTATGAATTCTATGGTAATATTGTTTAACAATTTTCTATTTTAGGGATTTTAAATTATTTTCAATCTTTTGCTCTTCTTGCCAGGATGAGTTTTATGCATAATTATGTTCACATCTCAAATTAGTTAAAATACATTCTTATAAGTTAATTTGTGAGTTCAAATAGTAAGAACATTTGTACAGTTGTACAAAACAAATTTCCATAAAGATTATGAAATGTACACTTCCATCATTCTTTGAGCATGTCAATGAACTGCATATTAAAATATAATGGGCATTTTCTTTTCCAAAATTACGTCAATTTTAAATATTGAAAATAATATCTCATTGCTTTAATGTATATTTAGTGAGACTGAATTTTTTGTACTTGGTGTTTATAATTCTACCTTTTCAAATAGTCTGTTTGGTGTTTGAGTCATCTTGCCAGTGCAGTGTTAAGATTTTTTCATATTAAACTACTATAAATTAATATATAAGTATGTCACCCTTGCTTATAACATCTAGAAAGTTCTAACTTTTTTGCTTAGAAAATCCTTTCCCATTTCAACATAACTATTGACATCTTTTCCTTTAGTTCTTTTGTTTCATTTTGACATCAATATTTTTAAAACACCTGGAATTTATTTTTGGTATAGTATGAGAATGGTGATTTAATATCTGGTAGCTTGAGAGCCCATTAATCATTATTTCCAAAATTTCCCTGCCTATTTTTCCAGATTAACTTTTAAAATCATTTTGTCAGGTATCCCTCCCCCCACCTCCCCCAAACTCATTGAAATTGCAATCAAACTATAAATACAAATCGGGAAGAATGTATAGAATGTTGAATACTGATTATCATAGAAATACTTCCAGTATCTCACTTGTATACCAATAACAGACTTTTTGTTTCAGAATGGAGTTTTTTAGTCTGTTAGACAATTCATCTTCGACTTTTATTACTAAATCTCTAACTGAATACAGATTTTGTATTTTGTCAAATGCTTCAGTGACATCTTTTTGGGTTTACATGTGCAATAGCTTTGTCTTCTAGTTCCTATATATTAACGGGTTTCTTAACAGTGAGCCATCCTTTAATCCCTGACATAAACCCTCCTCACAGCAGTGGAGTATTTTCTAGTATGACGATGATGTGGGGTTGCTAATGCTTTATGAACACTTTTACACATAAATATTTCTAGTCTAGAGCCTTTTTGAAGACAATTTTTTTAAATAACTGTTAACATTTTAATGATTATTATTTCAATTAGATATTCAACTTCTCTTTTTCACTTAAAATTTCCCCAAAGAACATTCATTGGGAGATTTCCAAATCTGAGTTTCAATTTTTAAACCTCATCTGCATGTACTGTTTATATGCCACTTTGATCTTCTAATTTGGCATACTTTTGATTTTCATTTTTCCTTTTAAATATATTTTTATTGAGTTTTTAGAGAGGGAGAGATAGAAACATCAATGTGAGAGAGAAACATCAACCGGCTGTCTCCTACACACTCCCCACTGGGGATCGAGCCCACGACCCAGACATGTGCCCTGACTGGGAATCAAACCAGGCCCTCTCGGTCCATGGGACGACACTCAATCCACTGAGCCACTCCAGCCAGGCTTCATTTTTCTTGTTAGGCATCTTAAATATGTCTCTATAGCTCCTGTCTTCACTGTGTCCCCCAGAAATGAGCTATTTGACTTATCAAATCTCCTTTCTGTCTTGTGGTCTAATTTATTTTCACTTACGTGCAGAATAAATCTTAGTGTTTTGTGTTGCACTGTACTATTTACACAACGTGTAAAGTGGCTATTTCCAGTCACACTATGAACCTGTCTTGGGCAGGCAGCCTTCTAATCATTCATTTAATTAATTAAAAAATCATAACTTCACTATACTGGAATTTTTAGAACTTATTTTGAAAAGTTTGTGAATGACTCAGAAAGCAACCTAGTAACTAGATCTGGTCGTAGAGAACTATTTTTTCCAGGAGACACTGCTCCAGTGTTTCCTATTATTCATTTTCAGCACCACATGAGCCAAACATTTCAAAATAAATTATTTTCAAGAGAAGAAACAAGATGAAATGAAGAAACAAACTGAACGCTTGAAACTATGTTTATACAATATAAATATAAACAATTTAACCCGACTGAAATTAGGGAAAAAGACACTTCAGCAACCACATGTTTCTTTTTAGGAATGATAATCTGATTGTGGCGAAACGTGGTATTTGTGTGACTGCTATTCAAGTGTGCTTGCAATTTGCCCAACTTTTTTTTTCAGCCCAACAGATTTCCTGGTATATGGTTACCATAATTTGGCGTGAATTTTCCTGTATTATTTGTGTTTTTTTCAGAAATGCTGATTAATTACCTCCATTCTTCTCTATGAACTTCAAATTGACATACCTATGAAAATATTTTCTTTTAAATACATTTTCCATATTATACATGAGTTGGGAGGAAAGGCTTTTCTAATAAATGTTAAGTATGTTTAACTTTGACTCCTGTGGCTTACCCAAACCCATAATGACTCAAATGGTCAATAGGTGTTCTTATTCTCGAATAGAGAACATCCCACTTCATGTAGGAAGCCTCTTCAAATGACACCTTTCCCTCACAAGTTTACATTTCCCGTCCAGTGACCATAAGAAGTACAGATAGATTTCTCTACATGCCATTTTGGGATATTTGGGTGAAGAGGCAGGTGGGCCACTTACATTTTTCATGATCAAGGCTAACACACACACACACACACACACACACACACACACACCCTCTCTCTCTCTCTCTCTCTCAAGTAGGACTACTAAAATAATATCTAGCAGATGCAAAGTGCATACTGTCAAACACGCAACCGCAGTGGTCCGAGAACAGCTCAGATGGAGAGCTGGGGCGAGGAACATCTTACCTGCTTTCCGTCCAGCGTGCAGAGCCTCTTGACCACGCCCGAGTCTAGTTTAATGGCTTCGGTGATATCTGTTAAGACTTGTTCAAAGGAATGGGCGGTCTTCTTATTGAGAAGGATCCGCACGGCTTTTCTAGGCTTCACTCCACTGCGAATCACAGTCACCAGTTTGGGTTTGATGAAATCTTTACTCTCCTTCACTTCGCTCTTCACCGAGGAGGGAGCAGCCAAGGCTCGGGTGGTCCCACCCTTGATGTTCACAGACCAGTTCGGATTAATATTTTTGGTGTAATCAACTTTACGAAATGGTTCATTTGACGCACACACGTAACTCTCACCTAGAAAGCAAAAAGCAGTTTTATTAGCCAGCTTTCCCCACCACCGAAGAACGCTGGAGACCCATGAGCAGATCCTGCATTTCACAGGTGCACGCACGGGGCCCGTGTCCTTCCCCGGCATTCTGCCCCCCCCCGCTCTCGGCTGCGTCCAGGCTGGTTTGGAGAGCAGCATGCACAGAGTGAACAGCACTGGACAAAGAAAGGAGAGCGATGGATCAGGGTTTCGTTCTCATCAAAAGTGTCTTCCTGGAACATTTCTCTACACGTTTGGTTGTCATCTGTAACATGACGTTATTGAACCAGATGAATTCTAAAGTCCTTCCTAGTTCCAAAGTCTATTAACTAATTTAACTTCATAAATGTAATCTGGAAGAAATAATTATATCACAAAATAATATGTTCATATAATAAGATTATTTTCCTCCTTCCAATGATAGATTTCAGTCCTAATCAAAGAATGATCACTCCATCTTCACCTAACTGACTACATTATATTCACTTATAGGGTCATTTACTCAATTAATGAAGCACCACAAAAAGGAAGAAGAGTTTTGACAGCTCAGAGAAACATAACACAGGCATTTTTTCCCTTAATTAAAGAACACAGGCATTTTTTCCCTTAATTAGAAAATAGTAGAAATAGATTACCCTTTCTATAACTATTTAAAGGGGATAGGATATTAAGTAGTTAAAACAATGTGTACATTACACACATAGTCTTGTGTCTAATTTTTATTATGAAAAACTATACTATTTGGCAATTAGTTTACCAAGTCAATGTTCATTAATTTGAAGTTCCAAAATTCTATGTTGAAAAATATTTTTTCACTGAACAAGCAGAATTATATGCTTAAAGAAATCATACATTTTCTTTTGGGAGATTCAGAAGTCATCCAATTCTTTTAGTTTCAACTTTTTGGCATACGAGGTAAGAGGGTTACATGCTAAGATCTTCTCTAAGACATCTTCTAACTCAAAAAGAATCCACTATTTTTTCACCCATTCCGTGTAACAGTCCCATGAATATATGATGATATGCTACAACCCTGAAATGCTGTGAATGCATAAAACAAAAATAACCAAATGCTGTGAAAGGAAGTCCTAAGGAAACCCATCCATGTAAATATTGTTCGTAACTATCGGATATTCGTGGAGTACTGATTGCTGGAGAACTTAAAGTCTTCGAAAGGCACACGAACAATTCAATAACAGATCAGGCAGACAAGAGGATCTGCAAAGAGGAGTCGTGTCTTCTATTGAAAGGTATACCTGGGTCTCTGTCCAAGAAAACTAGGGGACCAGTCACAGGCTTTAACAGTGCCCACACCAGTCATTTGAAATCTAGCCCAACCATCACCCTATGGAGACTTTTCATCTCTGTAGGTTTATTTGCATCATTTTTCCAGTGTAATCATCTGGAAAAGTGTCGTGTAATTTCAAAATAGGTATAAATCTAACAAAATAGAACTACATAACATATGTATGTATTTATGAGCAAAAATAAACAATTATGATTTTGCTTTAACTTTACAGAGAAAGCAACTCTCACACTGCAAAGCTCTTACGCCTAGCTGGTTTGGCTCAGCGGTTGGAGTGTTGGCCTGTGGACGGAAGAGTCATGGGTTCGATTCTGGCCAAGGGCACGTACCCCGATTGTGGTTCGATCCCCAGCCCTGGTCAGGGTCATGCAGGAGGCAACCAGTCCAATGTGTCTCCCTCACATCAATGTCTATCTGTCTCTTTCTCCCTCCCTCCCTCTCTCCCTTCTTCCCTCCCTCCACTCTATCTGAAAACCAATGGAAAAATATCCTTGGGTGAGGATGAAAAAAAAAAGAAAGAAAGAAAAGCCCTTACTAATTTTACCTATGATAAAAAGTAAATTTTATGTTCTGATCCAAAATATTACAATGAAGGGAAAAAGAAGAACCTCAGCAAGAAAAGGTGATTTTTTTTTTTCCCACCCGAGGACATTTTTCTATTTTTTGTTCAGATAGAGTGGGAGGGAGAGAGAGGAAGAGAGAGCGCGAGAGCGCGAAACATCGACGTGAAAGGGACATATCTAGTGGCTGCCTCCCGCACGATCCAACCAGGGCCGGGGATAAACTGCAACCAAGGTACATGCCCTTAGTGGGAACCAAACCCGGGTCTTTCTGGACCACAGGCCGATGCTCTAACCGCTGAGCCAAACCAGCCAGGGCGATTTTTTCTTTTTTTAAAGAGCAGAGAGAAGTAGGTGGAGAAAAGTCTTTCCCAATATAAAGAGAAAAAGACATTGGCAAAGAGAAACAAAACAAAAATTTTTAATATGTCCGATTTCCTTACCACCTAGTCCCTGCACAGTCGACACGGTGACCAGGAGAGCTGCCTTTACATTTGTCTGTGTTTTGCCTCTTTACACAGGTTTAGAATGTCAAGACAAAAGGAAGCCTGTCTTTTAATTTGCTTGTGTGTAGTTACAGATAACATTTTAATCCCCTCCTTCTCTCCCTTCCTTCCTTCATAATGTTTCCATTTAAAACCTCTAGGCCAGTTCCATAATCACTACGTAAAGTTTTGAAACCAGGCTGGCCAGTGCCTGCTGGACAAAGCCTCACCCCTTCTCCCATCCACAGCAGACAGTAAATAATAATTCTTGGGGTGCTCTTCTGCCAAGCCTAGACCGACCTTCACAAGATGCACGGAATACCTACTATGCGCCAGCTCGTGTGCTAGGTGGTGACATGAGATGAAACCCACTGTGGCATCCTTGGCATTCAACATTTCAACACGGATGATCAGGACATGGTTTAGAGGTCAGCCTTGTGTTTCTTTATACTGGGCACATAAAACTCTACGGTGTAGACGTCATACTTTGGTAGCAATAGCCACCACACACCCAGGCTAGCTTCCCCAGTCGTGTCCCCTCCCAGATCAACCAACCTGACTGTACCCTTGTCACTCACATGCATTTGCCCGCAGGGAGAGCTTTGCCTATGCGCTCACTGTTCCCTCTTGGTCTGCTTTCCAGGGCTCCTGTCTCCCGTTCCTGCAGGCACCGCCCCCCTTACAATCCTGAGGGGCAGCTGCATCCGCCCACTTGGCTTCAACCACCCCTACACCCTGACGACTCACACAAGGAGGACACCCCCAGCCTAGTCCTTTCTCTGGAGTTCAAGTCGCTTACAGAACATCTCTACCGAATAATCTACGGATACCTCACATGCTACACATCTAAAACGAACGTCACGCCTCATTATTGCCATCCTGACCGCAGACTCTCTTCTTACTGAATTCCACAACTTGATTGGATGAAACCACCACCTCTCCAGTCACATAAGCAGAAACCAAGACTTCTGCTTGTCGTGTCCCTTTCCCCACATTCTCCAGAACTGGCGAAACTGTTCACTTTGGTCTAAGCACCCCTGGAGCCCACTCCCCTCAGCCCTGCCTTCTCTCATCCTCCCTGGATTAGAGTGAACTCCCCGTGTCGGGCCTCAGCCCCTGACCCTGAGCAGAACTGCCACGGCAGGTTTTGTGACATGCAGATCTGATGTCTCTTGCCTGTTTTCCTGCCTTTGGAAGACAGGACAAAGTGCTCGGCACATCACGTACCTCCAGCCTCGTCCCCACCTCCTTCCCACAGGACCCGGAGTTAGAGCAACCAGTGGATTTGCACTTCCCTTCCAATCTCATCACTCCCTCTTATTCCCACTCCTTCTGTACACCTGAAATAACCCTCCTCCTCCTTCTGACTTGCCTCTTTTTTCCAACCTGTCAGGATTGCTTGCCACTGACAAGAAAGCAAAGCAGTCGAGCCTGCAGACTGCCGGGAGGATTTTAAGTTGGTTCAATCATGTAGATAAACAGGCTGGCATTATCTATGACCAGGTTTACAACACACATATGACCCAGACGTCCGCCCCTGGAGAGTACTCTAGAGAAATTAATGCATATGGGCACCATAATGTAAATTATCTCCCTGTATATACATACAGTACACATACATGTATGTTCATAGATTTTTTTTTTTTTTTGAGAGTACATTTATTAAAAGCTGGGGACAGTGAAACAAGGAAGGGCTTAAGGTAGAAGAAGCAACAGGAGAGAGAAAGGCAGAGCAAAGGGGCCTTGGAGACAGGTTCAGGGTTAGCTCAGGATGAGCTGCCGCTGCCCATTGCTCCCCTGGTTGCAAGTCTCACGAGGACCTTCTTGGAGAAAGAGAACAGAGATACAAGGCACGGGCTGGCTCTAGTGAAAGCTTGATGTGGGTCCTTTGTCTTGAGTATCTTTCCTTGGCAGGTGAACAATCTAGAGGAGGTCTCAGGGGCAGGTCTTTTTTTTTTTTTTTTTTTTTATCCTCACTTGAGGACATTTTTGCATTTATCTTCAGATAGAGCAGGAGGGAGAGAGGGCAGAATAGAGAGAGAGAGAAAGATCGATGTGAGACACATCGAGTGGTTGCCACCCATGTGACTCCAACCAGGGCCGGGGACAAACTGCAACTGAGGTACATGCCCTTAGCGGGAACCAAACCCGGGTCTCTCTGGTCCTCGGGCCGACGCTCTAACCGCTGACCCAAACCAGCCAGGGCAGGGGAGGGTCTTAATAGAATATTCATTAGCTTTCCAGGTGGGTCCTTCAGTATGTTGATTTATCAAAATGTGTGTCTAGGGAGTTCAGGGTTATTTTCTGGTTGGTTTTAGTTTTAAAGAATGTCATCAAAGAGGAACTTGGGACCAAGGCCTGGGATGGTCTGGACTGTGTAAACCATTTGCTCCTAAGTGTCCTTGGTTAGGGAAGATAAAACCTTGTGATTCATTAACTGGCTGTGAATTACTCAAATTGTTTGGCCTTTTAAAATTATTTTGTCTCAGTTTTCCTTATTCCACTTGTCAAGGAATTCCCCTAGCTTCTTACTCTCCTGCCACATTTTTACTGAGGACCAAATGGACTCCAATTTTGAACAAAAACTGCGCTTGTAAACTTATCTTCACCATGTGGTTCATAGAAATTAACACTCA